CTAGCAATATTCTAGCCGCAGTTGTAGCATGCAGGAAAAGCCTTTTTTCTCTTTTGGTAAATCTTGACCTGAAATGCCTAGCAGAAAATCTTCTGGACTTTTTACAAAGGTTGTCTTAAACATTTTTTTCAGTTCATTATAAATCATTTCCCAATACTTTTTGATCAATTTAAAATTCCACCACATATGAAAGAACGTACCTTCTTTCCCCTTACATTTCCAACCCTTATTGGAGCTTGTTTTAAACAATTTTGCCATCTTTCCTGGTTCTCATGGAGAAGCCGTTTTCAAAGGAGCCCAGCGACGGAAGCACATGGCTGTGTTGAGGCAGCACTGGGTGTTGAAATTTTGCGCCTCCGAACAATTTTGCGCCCAGGGCAATCGCCCCTGTGTCCGTCCCCCGTCCCCCCACTCTATGCCACTGACTTCAACTATCTTCACATAAGGTAAAGGGACCCCTGACCATTAGGTCCAGTCTTGGCCGACTCTGGGGTTGCGGCGCTCATCTCACTTTATTGGCCGAGGGAGCAAGCGTACAGCTTCCGGGTCATGTGGCCAGCATGACTAAGCCGCTTCTGGCAAACCAGAGCAGCACACGGAAACGACGTTTACCTTCCCGCCGGAGCAGTACCTATTTATCTACTTGCACTTTGACGTGCTTTTGAACTGCTAGGTTGGCAGGAGCAGGGACCGAGCAACGGGAGCCCACCCTGTCGTGGGGATTCGAACCACCGACCTTCTGATCAGCAAGTCCTAGGCTCTGTGGTTTAACCCACAGCGCCATCCGCGTCCCTATTTTCACATAGACTGGCTAAATATGCGTTCCAGTCATGACAAAGAGGCAAGATTTCTTGATACCCTTAATGGTGTTGCTTAGAACAGCTGATGTTTGAAGAGAACAGGCGTTGACCTTGGACCTTCTGGGCAGATGGTGCCTGTTTAGCTTTGGCTGCTAGCCTGTGACCTGCACAGTCTTGGATTTCACAGCTCCTCAGATAAGTGCACCATAACACACTGCACTTCTGAAAAGCCCTTCAGCTATGATTCCTGCATCACAGAGGGTTGGACTAGATGACTCCTTGGGTCCCTTCCGACCCTGCAGTTCTTTGATAGGATGCTGCGAGAGGATTTTACTCAGAGCCTTCTTTCGAAATATCCCCCCTGCAATATTCAAAATGGTTTCCCCCCCCTTTAAAAACATCCTTAGGATAAATATTTGATGTTTTTTAATAAAATAAAATATATAGCATGAAAAATCAAATATTTCGGGTCATAAGAATTGCCCTGATGGCTAGGGATCCTTGCAAGTCCTTGGCCAATGCGATCCCTCTTGGAAATGCATATTTATTTATTTATTGAACTTATATCTGGCCCTTCCACCCCAAGGAGCCCAGGGCAGCAAACAGATACACAGTTTAGAAAAGAAAGCAGAAACATTCCGAAACAGATTTAAAACATTCTAAAAGTGCTAACAGTTAAAAACATCTAAAAGCAGCTTCTATTAAAAACATTCTAAAAGCCATTACAGTGGTACCTCGGGTTAAGTACTTAATTCGTTCCGGAGGTCTGTTCTTAACCTGAAACTGTTCTTAACCTGAAGCATCACTTTAGCTAACGGGGCCTCCTGCCGCCGCCGCGCCGCCAGAGCACAATTTCTGTTCTCATCCTGAAGCAAAGTTCTTAACCCGAGGTAATATTTCTGGGTCACCGGAGTCTGTAACCTAAAGCGTATGTAACCCGAGGTACCACTATACAGTTAAAAGTGTTCTTCCACCCACTGATCAGCAGATTGCCAGAAACAGTCTTCTACAGCCACCCAATGTCTGGGTGGACGGGAATGTTTTCAAATTCCTCTGGAAAGTTAATGGGGAGAGTTTTCTGCAACTGGAGAACCACCACTGAAAAGTCCTCGTGGTTCAGTACCAACTGGGCAGCCCCTGGCGGCAGCACTACCAGCAAGTCCTCATCCGCTTTTTGTAGTGTAAGCAAAGTTTGAGAGCCACACCCCTCCTATGGTAATGAGAGGTATACTGCTGTTGAACATGGGGGTTCGACTTGGCTATCATGAACGACCCACCCTTCTCACTGATCTTATTTAAGCATCTTAAAAAATCTGATGGCTAGCACTACATCTTGAGTGGAAGAGATTCCTATAACTTGTTCTGAATGAAGTGTTCATCAGTTTTGTCGGGTGATCCCTGAATCTCCGTGTTTATATGGTGGATAATAATAATAATAATAATAATAATAAAACAACAACAACATAATATTATTTATACCCCACCCATCTGGCTGGGTTTCCCCAGCCACTCTGGGCGGCTTCCAACAGAATATTAAAATACAATAGTCTATTAAACATTAAAAGCTTCCCTAAAGAGGGCTGCCTTCAGATGTCTTCTAAAAGTCTGGTAGTTGTTCTTCTCTTTGACATCTGGTGGGAGGGCGTTCCACAGGGCAGGTGCCACCACCGAGAAGGCCCTCTGCCTGGTTCCCTGTAACTTGGCTTCTCGCAGTGAGGGAACCGCCAGAAGGCCCTTGGCGTTGGACCTCAGTGTCCGGGCAGAATGATGGGGGTGGAGACGCTCCTTCAGGATAAAGTTATCTCCAAACCAGCCTTCGCTAATCTGTCCAGATGTTGTGGACTACAACTCCCATCAGCCCCGGCATCAGCCAGCACAAAACATTTGGAGGGGTTGGCAGGGACCCGGCGGGGGAAGGATGTCTCACACTGTGTGTGTGTGTGTGTTTCCTTATCAAGTCTTCTTGCTTTCTTCTCCATGTCACCTGCATTTATCTTGGCTCACCTGTTTCCGTTCGGAGCACCGGAGAAGTGCATTTTATTGATGCACCTTGGACATCTCAATTGCATCTCTTGTTTAATGTTTAATTCGGGGAGATTGTTTCTAACTTGGGAAAGGAGATAAAGAGTTATCCTGACAGCACTTGCTGCTGTGCTGACCAGATCTAATCTGGAGGCTGCAATTTGCTGAAACAGCAGGCCAGAAGGAGCTGAGTGTGCAGGCAATATCTGTCCTCCAGCGGCCTCCTCGCCTCCTCTGCCAGTTGTCCCATGGCACTCTGGAGCCTGCAAGGCAGATATCCCAACCGCTTGAGATACAATTAGGGATTAAGAAGAGGGAAATCTGTCAATTCCAATTTCTCTCCATTTCTTATTTTGCCCATCTAACATTGCACGTACTTTTGTAAACCAAGAAAATCTTTAATAAAAAAATAATAAAGTGCCACATAAAAATTCGCCGGCAGCTTTCTCCTAGTAATATGTATTTTTGTGTGGAAATTGGCCTAACATACACATTTTTGCAAGAACTTTTCACAAATTTATGCGTCTTTCTTGCAAAATCCAGGGAAGGGCAAATTTTGACAGATGGCTCTCCAACATCTCTAATACAGTTGTACCTTGGAATGTGAATGGAATCCATTCTGGAAGTCCGCCTGACTTCCAAAATGTCCGGAAGCCAAAGCACAGCTTCCGATTGGCTGCAGGAAGCCATGCTGAGAATAGTTCGAAAACCAGAACACTCACATCTGGGTTTCGATCGTTCGGGAGCTGATTTGTTTGGGATCCAAGGCGTTTGAGATCCAAGGTACCATGCAGTTAACATCAATTGAGAAGCGATTCTGTCTGAATCAGCTTTGAGCGATGCTCATGCATGACCAGGACTAGCTAGAAATTCTGAATCAACAAACACAAACCATTTCGCTGTCTTTCTACTCATTCACCACCAATGTACACAGAGGCATCTGCTTCTGAACATGGGGGTTCCATTTACTGGTACAATTCCGGCTTTGGGAGGCCGGTGGGCTCAGTGGGTCCCCTCCCTCAATGAGGTCATCTCCTTGCTGCAGCTTTTTGCTCACTGCTCCCTATGGGCTTAGGTGGTGCCACCTCCCAGAGGGAGTGAAGACAGAAGTTCCTTCTCCTTGCGCCTCTGACTGCTCACACTCTTGGAGTGGGCAGGTGAGGAAGAAGAAGAGGAACAGGACCACCGGGCTCTAAGGGTTAAAAGGGAAAGCTGTGTTTTGGGGGAGTCTGCCCAGCCTTCTTCCTCTTCCTATCCAGGAACTCCTGATGAACTTCCAAGGGACCACAAGGTTCCTTCCGTGGGATGGTTTGAAAGCCACTGGACCAGTCTTCCTCAACCTGGTGCCCTCCAGATGTTTTCAACTGCATCTCCCATCAGCATGGTTGTGTGCACATCTGCCCCAGCGTCATATGGCTGCATTGGCTGGGACCAGAGGGAATTGGGAGCCCAAAACATCTGAAAGGTGCCAGATTTTGGGGAAGGCTAGCCACACACTAAGGGACACGGGTGGCGCTGTGGGTTGAACCACAGAGCCTAGGACTTGCTGATCAGAAGGTCGGCGGTTCGAATCCCCACAACGGGGTGAGTTCCTGTTGCTCGGTCCCTGCTCCTGCCAACCTAGCAGTTCGAAAGCACATAAAAGTGCAAGTAGATAAATAGGTACCACTCTGGCGGGAAGGTAAACGGCGTTTCCGTGTGCTGCTCTGGTTCGCCAGAAACGGCTTAGTCCTGCTGGCAACATGACCCGGAAGCTGTACGCCGGCTCCCTCGGCCAATAAAGTGAGATGAGCGCCGCAACCCCAGAGTCAGCCACGAATGGACCTAATGGTCAGGGGTCCCTTTACCTTTTAGCCACACACCGGAGGGCAGACCCACACACCATACACCAAAACACACATTTAAATCACACGACTTCCCCCAAGGAATCGTGGGACCTGCAGTTTTCCCCAGGCGGAGTTAACATACCCAGGAATCCTGAAGAACGTTTAACTTTTCTGCTGAGATTTTTCTTTTTAATTGCCCCTTCTGTTTGTTCTTTGCAAAGGGAAAGGGTATAAAAAGCGTGTGCTTCATTTGACGATTGCTCAGGCTGCACCTGGGATACGGAGGTGAACTTTTGAGAAATGCACTTGTTAGTTTTACCGCTCGCTAAATAGAACTTTTTGTTTGATTCAGGTCATGAGGGAAGGCCGAGCCTGGCGATGACCGGCGTAGACCGAAGGGACCACTTGGAGAAGAGGTTCCTGTGCCATGATGGGGATGGATTGTGGCTCCTGATCTCTCCCTTGCTGGCTCGGGCACCCATGTCTGCCAAAGACACCGCTTTCTGACCCGCTTCTTCTTCTGGGACCTCTCTCTGCGTGGCTCACGATGGGAGGATGCTTCTCCAAACCCAAACCAGGTGAACTCTCCTGAATCGTCCCTCTGCTCAAGCCCTTCCACCTTTCCTTCTCTGCGCGGAACTGGGAATTAAACTAGGTCATGCACGCAGCAGGGCCACTCCGCGGAGAGAACTCTGCGGAGAATGTTAATTCTCTGGGCTTCTACGCGGAGGGATTATTAAAGCGATTGGCTAATCCTCCAAAAAAACCGAGCACAATGCACAGCGGTGACTTTAATGAAACATTTGGGGCTTGGAAAAGTAGCAGGAGGCATTGCTAAACAAAGAACTGGGACCTCGACTATGGGGTTGGGCAGCAGGGAAGGAATCTTTTGCCAAGAAGTTGCCATAGTCAAGGGCAAAATATGGGATCTGGGGTTCCTCCAGGCTCTTTCTGTTCCCAGGTGGGATCCAATCGCATCCCAGAAAATTCAGGTTGAGTAATTATAGTCGGTTGGGAGGTCTCAGCAAAAACAAGAGCCAGTGTTGTAAACAAAAATTGCCCTTTTCCCTTATGGGGTATCCAAGAGCCCATATAGAGTCCTTACATAGGTTCCCTATTGGTAGGAGAAAATAACAGAGGCCAACCAGAGAATATTGAGAAGCAAAGCAGCTAGTAAACTTGATCTTTATTGATCTGTTGCAACAGGGTGCTCCCCTCACCTGCAGGAGAGGAGGAGGAACAATGGCACACAAGGCCTTATAAAGTCTTTTAAAATTGCCACCCTGTAGATCAAGACCACCCCCAGAAACATCATACATACATCACAGAAAGGGTGTAACCTAAGACCACCCCTCAGATACATCATACCTACATCACAAAAAGGCGGTCTAAACAGAAATTTGAATGTTGTTTTTCTCCTGTTGTTGTTTATCTCCTGCCTGGCAGGTTACTTGATTGGATTGCCTGGGTAGCCCAGCCAGTCTTTTGTAATGATAAATACTTAGTTCCTGGACCAGGTCACAGGCTCACACCCTATTCAAACACAGACATACCCTGAAGACAGGATTTGTGAAGGAAAAGGCAATGGGGAGGCTTTTCCATTTTCCTTTGACCTTGCAGAGAAAACATTTGGTCAGTTTGGGAATCAAAATGGTTCCAGGTCGGTCTTCCTGTGCTGATCTATGTATGTACTTGGTTGGTACACTTATGAACATTTAACACATATCTAAGGTGGCGCTGTGGGTAAAAGCCTCAGCGCCTAGGGCTTGCTGATCGAAAGGTTGGCGGTTCGAATCCCCGCGGCGGGGTGCGCTCCTGTTGTTCAGTCCCAGCGCCTGCCAACCTAGCAGTTTGAAAGCACCCCCGGGTGCAAGTAGATAAATAGGGACCGCTTACTAGCGGGAAGGTAAACGGCGTTTCCGTGTGCGGCTCTGGCTCGCTACAGCAGTGATGTCACGCTGGCCACGTGACCCGGAAGTGTCTCCGGACAGTGCTGGCCCCCGGCCTCTTGAGTGAGATGGGCGCACAACCCTAGAGTCTGTCAAGATTGGCCCGTACGGGCAGGGGTACCTTTACCTTTTAAGACCTCAAAATTCCTATCACACCAGTGGCGGTGCAATGGTTAGAGTGCCAGGCTAGGACCCAGGAGACCAGGGTTCAAATCCCCACTCAACCATGAAACTCACTGGGTGGTTTTGAGGGCCAGTCACTGCCTCTCTGACCTACCTCACAGGGTTGTTGTGGGGATTAAATGAGGAGGGGGAGAACTGTGTATGCTGCCATGAGCTCCTTGGAGGAAAAGTGGGATAGAAATGAAACAAACAAACAAACAAACCGTGGTCAACCGATCACTACAAAACCTTTTTAAAACACACATTCTCCGTCACAATGGCTGGCTGTTAACCAGAAGTTTGGAGATTTGAGCGGGTTGGACTAGATGACCCTCAGGATCCCTTCCGACTCTACAGTTCTGTGATCTCTAGTAACCTTAGCTGTGCCTGTTGTCCAAAAAACAACAAAGACCTGAAATTCCTCAAGCCGTAAGGGGTATGTCCACAATCATTTATGTCGCTTGTTAATGGCCAAGAACAAACACCCAGCTGGCTTTGACCCTGGATTCTGTCAAATTAAGCTTCCTTAATTTAGCCCCGCATTGCCCGCAGCAATTATATGCCCCCTATGGAGTCAGCCGCCCGTGCCCTCATGTAGTCTCTCACTGGCATGCCAGAGCAGAAAAGGATTTTCGTTACAAATATCTACAGTTTTGGGGTGGGCTGCATTTCCTAACGGGGAACTTCCCAGAGGTCGCATGGTGCCGTGAGCTGGGAAAAGATGCGAAGATGTTTTGGGCACGGGTGAAAACTGGCGGGGCAGAGGGCAGGATCCTGTCTTAGTGCAATTGTAGGCTACAGCTCTGCAAAAGGCAGGGATTTCTGTAGACAGGCACACACAAAACTCCATCCAGACAAGGAAGTGGCCTTATCACAGGCATAGAATCGCAGGATTGTAGAGATGGAAGGGACCTGTGAGGGTGAGCACTTTCCCCTCCTTTAGTTTCCATCATGGCCTGTAGCCATCAAAAGCCCTCTCCTCCATGAACTAGCCTAGTCCTCTTTTAAAGCTAAATTGCCTTGATTTGATGAGGAATGGCACGTTCAGAATGCATTAAGGACAGGAACGCCCAAACCTCAATCTTGGAGTCACACCTGCGACGTCCGGTTGCCTTTGCATTTCTGCAGAGCGCCACTGGAGCTAAGAAAATATGGAGATAAATAAGTAACGACGGCCAAGATGAATAAGTAACGGCACCAGCCTTGCCAACTCGATTCCAGGCTGCAACCTTACACGCAAGGCTCGTTTACCAAGAGCTCTCCCTGCAGCGCACAATTCCTTCCCACGCAGGGCCACATCTCCTAGGCGTTTGGGGGAAATGCGGCAACCTGGTGACGGGTGGGGGGGGGACAGCACAGGCAGCATGCTGCAGTGGTTAGAGCGTTGGACTAGGACTCAGCCATGTGAAGAATTGCAGAGTTGGAAGGGACCCTCAAAGGTCATCAATTCCAACCCCCTCCAATGCAGGAATCATGGCTGAAGAATCCCTCACAGATGGCTGTCCAAGCCCTGTTAAAAAACCTCCAGAGAGTCCCCCACCTTCCGAGGGAGTCCATTCCACTTTTGGACGGTTGGGGGCAGCTGCCATCTCTCAACCTAGCCTACCTTGCAGGGTTGTTGGGGAGATAAAATGGAGGAGGTGGACAACTTTGGATACCACTTTGAGCTCCTTGGAGGAATGACAGGATGAAAATAAAAGAATAAAATATAATTTTGCCCCCCCCACGCGCGCGCGCGCGCGCACACACACACACATGTGTGTGTGTGTATGTGTAAAGGGACCCCTGACCATTAGGTTCAGTCGTGGCTGACTCTGGGGTTGCAGCGCTCATCTCACTTTATTGGCTGAGGGAGCCGGCGTACGGCTTCCGGGTCATGTGGCCAGCATGACTAAGCCGCTTCTGGTGAACCAGAGCAGCGCACAGAAACACCGTTTACCTTCCCGCTGGAGCGGTACCTATTTATCTACTTGCACTTCATGCTTTCGAACTGCTAGGTTGGCAGGAGCTGGGACCGAGCAACGGGAGCTCACCCTGTCATGGGGGTTCAAACCGCCGACCTTCCGATCGGCAAGCCCTAGGCTCAGTGGTTTAGACCACAGCGCCACCCACGTCCCATATATGTATATATGAGAAAGGGAAGTAAAGAACGCTACACAGCAACACCCTTTCTCTCCTTGCCACATCATTCCTTCTGACAGGAAACTCCAGTGGCGGTGTGACAATCCATTTAAGTGACAAAAGCGGACTACTTCAAAGAAGGGAGTAGTTTCTACATACTTGGGGAAAGCCTGCAAATTAAAATAAACATCTTTTTTTTTTTTAAAATGTAATAGTCCAAAACGGTCCAACCAGCACCTTTGAAATCAAAGGACTTAGAGCGTTGATGTTTCTTGAGCAGGGCGGTTTTAATCCCAGCCTCACCCACCTAGCAGGGTTGGGGTGAGGATCCAATGGGGAGGCAGAGAACCTGTGGTTCCTTCATGGCAGGGGGTTGGGCTAGATGACCCGTGGTGTCCCTTCCAATTCTACAATTCTCTGCGGCCTTTTGCTTTGCTTCATCTTCTGTATTGCAGTTGGGCCTGCTTTGAGGGTAATAAAAAACGCTTGCATCACAACTTTAACGTCAAGAGATTACAGCTGACTTGGACTCTGTGCTCATGAATCCAAATTCCCACCTATAAAGTTCTGATGAGGCCCATTCTAAAGAATCACTGCCTTTAACTTTCCCTTGAATTGCTTTGGCATTTATTTATTTTTTTAAAAACTCGTATTTCTACTTCCACCTTAGATCACTTTCCTTAAGGTGGGGTAAGAGTATTATGGCACTTAAGCCTGTGTGTGGGGAGGTTCTCCCATCAGGTGCTGCTACAATCCTGCTCTTGACGCCGGAGAATAAATTTCTAAGAAGTAAGAGGTTTACCAAAACCAGGTTCTTTAACTTTTCTTCAATCCGATTGGCAGGGCAGAGTTGTCCTTGGACTCTGTTCTGAGAGGTTAAGCCCTCTTTGGAGTTACTAGGGGACAACGTTGGCTATGGGAACACAGCTGGCAAGTGTTTAATCCATGGCATGTGACTCTGTCTCTTTTTTTGCTTATTGGCCCATTGGCTGGCTTCTTTGAGGCCTCACGGGATTTAACTGGAGCCAGGGCTCACTCAGCCTTCAATGCACAAACCAGCTTTGCAGGGGATATTGGACTGGATATTACCGTTGCGGGTCCCTTCCGACTCTCCAGTTCTATGATTCCCACCTTACCCATACATGCAGATTTTGTACAAATTGTGTCCTCTTCCAGCCTCTTTTTAAAGGGGCGGGGATGCATAAATGGCTACCCTACTGAGAGCAATGTGGCCCCTCTGCTCCCAGTCGCAGGGCCTCGGCCCAGTATACCTGAAGGAGCATCTCCATCCCCATTGCTCAGCCTGGACACTGAGGTCCAGCTCCGAGGGCCTTCTGGCGGTTCCC